AGGATTTTAACTGGCTTGCACATTGCACTAAACCAAATTATACATTGTGATGTTGGTTTAGCATATGTGAAACCCAGGTTTATAATTTAACAAGCTGATGGTGGTTCATTGAATAAACCATAGTTAAATATCATGGTTTTGTGTGTTGCATGAATCAGGTCTTTAAATGCCCTTATTTTGCAAATATCTTCTCATGTTAAAAGTCTTTTAATGCAGTTCAATTTTTTTTAGGGATTATGTAAGAAGTGAACTAGAATCCGGTTATGAAGGGCCGATGTACTTAGAGCCTCTTTCCATGAATCGTTTTATGACAGCCTTAATCGGTGAGTACATCAAACATCATCACCTTCCACAGAATAGCAAGGTTTTGCTCAGTGTTGCAATTAATAAAATAGACCTTATGTCACCAGAAACACCTGAGTAATCCAATAATATTTTATGTCATGTTTGTTGCATGCGCTGTGCCTCCATGTGATCATTTATAACACTAGAAAACAATATTAATAGCAACAATTCCTATTCTCATATGCCAGGCTGGAATGTGAAAATAGGTCTCAATTACCATTATGTCATCTAAGCGATAATATACTTCTCTTTTTCAATCTTTGACTTAAACTGGAAGAGAGGGTTGAAGATAAATGAGCCAGGGTCCTTTATATTCTTAAATAGGAAATAAAGAACTTCTGTTGCTGATTATCACCAAAAAAAACATGTTTATGTGTGTATATCTGTATAATTCAGAATACTATTCTACAATGGTGGCACAAAAATGCAGTTCAGACATATTGGGAAACTGATTTCCCACTATACAAAAAGAATTCTTCTGAGTAGATGTTTCAGTAAATGAGATCAACCCATGGTTTGATTTGCTGTTGTTTAAAGAAACCATAGTTCCCTCAATTCAGATTTAACATCATGAGCTATGGCTTTTTTAACCCTAGACCCAATGTATGTGAAAAGATGTTGGAAAGCATCTAAGCTGAACCCATTTACATTGCACCAAACTCTGCTTAACCTATTTGATCTAGAGCTTCTTAATTGCAGAGCAAGTTCTCACATGGGATTCTTTCACAGAGCTCTTAGATTACTTCTGTCTGGGATATAAGATGTCCAGACTGGGTGGAATCCCAACATATAAGCAACTATTCTCACAACAGCTGTCCAGTCCTCTTTGATCAACACAGAGGATGGGAGCTTCCCAACTATCAACAGTTGTAAGGAAAATGAGTCAGCCGGTTTACTGAGTTGAACTTGATATTGTATTCAAGCTTGAAGGGCAGTGGGGTATTTGTTTTCATGGTGGGCTTGTGATTTTGGCTGTTTGGGGTGTTTTTCTTTTGTTTTAAGACTTAAATGATTGGTACATTCTTTTAAAGTGGAAAACATTCCAGCTGTGTAGCATCAAAAAGATTTGTCATCTTATAGGAAGATTACAGCTGGTCTGACTGGAAATCAGCTTGCCAGTTAGTAATAACATCTAAACCCCTCACTTACTGAAACAATGATGTGTGATGTAGTCTTGTTTTTTCATTCATTTTGTGTTGATGAATGGATTATGGTTTTGGAAAAATTTGCTTTAGGGACAACTGTTGCTTCTGCCTTTTTGGGCTAATTTTCTGCCATTCATTATAAGCATGATTATTTGTTCGAAGAGGGGAAGAAACATGAGTTTATTGTAACTTTAGAATATTTCCAGTTCATGTTTTAGTCATTCTTGTGAGAGCATTCCTGTATTTAATCATGATGAAAACATTTACCTGGTTTTTCAAAAAGTCTGATTATTCTTTTAATCCCTCTACTAGTTCAGGAACTCATTCCCAGTGCATATTGCATAGGTAGCCAGACAGAGCCTGTCTGCTTAGCTGAAACACTAGAAAAGAGTTGGAGAAGGGGTGGGGCACACTAGGAACCAAACCACAGTACAGTATGGCATTGTGCAATCCTATGTCATTTTCATCAACTCAGATCTAATGGGAGTTCAAGACAGCTCTCCCAACCTTTTCCATTCCTCAGCTGGAAAAGTTTAGCTACAACAGTTCAGCTAGTCTGAGATCACCAGAGCTTTGATCTCTTTTGCTACTTAGGATTCAGCTATTAATTTCTCATTGCTACGTAGATGATAAGTGACTGATGTGTTAATCCTCCTTGACTCATTCCCTGCTTTCATTAGCTTTTAACTTTTTTTGTGCCTTGGGAGCAGACTGGATCTCCTTCTCTCTTCCCCCTTTCCAGTGACTCTTAAGAGAGGTGGCAGTAAACAAGTTGCCCTCTCCACAGTCCACATGACTTGCAGATACGCCTGGCTGCAGATATGCCTGGCAGCAGGACAGGTGAGGAGGACCTTTCTCTGTCCTTCCTTCAGCTGAGATACTTTGAATCCTGCAATAACATGGGCTATAACCATATATCAGAATCCTGGGCTCTAGAGGAACGATGTCCCCCTCAGGTTCTTCTCTTGCAATCCAGCCACTCTCGAGAAAGGGTGGAAGTAGTGGAGACAGAGGCTCTTATCCTGCTATCCAGTAGCTTAATGGGAGGGAAAGAGGATACTGGGGTAGGCCCCTTACAAGGCAAACAGAGCCCAGGTTGATACATGGAAGGGGCTTGCCTTATCTTAGGATGAGATGTTTTGAGATGTAGCAGTGAATGTATAACAGGCTCCCAATTTAAGAACAGTGGGAACTGTAGCTGTATGGATATGCTGGAAGATTTGTTAAAGATCCTGAGCTTGCGGCAGACGTTCATTTGAGGGATTCTTCTGGTTATGTTTGTTGTAAAGCATCAGTAACACTAAGAAGATATAAATCAATAGTGTTTTGTTACATTTCTTGGGGAATCCCATATGTATATAAAACAGGAATTTTGTAAATTTTGAAAAGAAATCTCAGAACGATGGAGTGTGACTGCTGTCAGGCTTCTAGCAGGAGGCTAGGATGGAGGAATTTACAACACAAGATATATGTTTAATATCCAGGCACAATCACACTGTTCATTTCCATCCTGGTTTGTTAAGCTATGCTCTTCACTTTAAAACCAATTGATTTTTAACCTTTTCAGCTTTATGAGTCTCAGCACACCTCATGATTATTGAATTAATAATAACTTGTCCAAATAATACAGGAGAGGAACAGAGAATTTAAAATTGCATTTTAATTATTACTGATCTCACAGTGAAATGGGGATTGGGGTACTAGGAACTTGTCCAGACTCCCAAGAGATGGATTGACTAAGATTGCAGCTAACTGGGAGACTTGCCAGGGTGGAGGCAGCCAGCATAGAAACTTACTTTTAGCTCAGCAACCAATATATTATTTTAATAAGATGATAGATGTTTATGAGTAAGCCAGTGTTATAATCATTCCAATCAGTGCAACTACTTTTAATGAGCTTTCAATTTTACATTTTGGAAAGAGCAGCACAAAGTTTAAGAAGGAGGATGGTTCTGAATATACAATAGGACTGTGCATGGTTCAGAAATGATTTGGAATAAGTATTTTGGACATAACATGAGTGTGAGCACAGTACTCCCTGCTTTCTACTAAAGCAGCCCCCTTTTGCAGGCTTTGATGCAGCTGCTTTAAGCGTAGTTGATTTCAGTGATTCAACTCCTTAAAGGAACTGTAGCTTTGTTCAGGCTTAGCAGAAAGGTGCTGTGCTCATAATAGATGTAAAACATTTCTTTAGATCATTTTCAAAGCAGCTGCAGCCACATTATAGAAACATGTTTGCTGAAACTTTGTGGTTTTGGCCATTGTACCAGTTTATAGTTCTGGAGCAGTGCTAAATGTGCTACATGCTCTTTCTCCATTTATGAAAACAAATACTTCATGGAAAAAACACACAAATTGTGCATGTGCATACAATTATGCACAGCTTTAATACTAATTTCTCAGAATCTTGAAAGCTTATGCAAAGATTGAACAAGAGAGCCAGTGTGGTATAGTAGATAGAGCCAGTGTGGTATAGTAAGTTAAGACTAGATCTGGGAAAGCCCAAATTCAAATCAATTATGGGTATGCATGAAACAGAAAACGTGTTTTGTTTTTAATCTAAAACAAACTTTAACAAATGGTTAAATTTGTTAAATTCCAGAAGTTCTGCCAATCTGTTCTGGGTGATTTTATGAGACAAATAGGGAAGGCTTCAGTGTCTCAGCCCCTCTCTTCTCTGTAGCACCTTGTGTGGGCCATCCACCCACTTGATCTTCCCAGACTCTCCCCTCAGCTGCTGCCTATCTCACTGATTTCATGACTTTTTCCCATTCTACACTTTTACTGTATTTGAAGCAACCTCGTTTTGATCTGTGTCCAGAACAAAGCAGTCCCATTTCATTCCACACCCAGATCGTATTTCAGTTCAGGCATGAACCACCCAAAACCAGCTGTTCTGTACGTGAACTGGTCAGCCCTGGAAACTCACTAGATGACTTTTAGCACACAGTTCCCTGACAGGGGAGTTGTCGGGAAATTCTGGAGGAGGGTTCGCTGAGTACATTGCCTTGAATTCCTAGAAGGAAAGCAGAACGTAGATCTAACAAAGATATAAAATAATGGTATAAAGATAATTACCAAATACAGTGTAAGATAAAAGCTACAGCAATGGAGGTGATAACATTATCACATGACTTGTTCATTGACGGAAATACCAGCCCAGTTCCCATGTTTGGTTCTTGTATTACTGTATCTACATAGTTTGAACTCTTTGTCTACATGAGAGCTGATCTTGTTTTCAAATAAATTTGTTTTTACAGGATCTACCCTTGCATTATATATCAGGAGCATGAAATATGCATTTACTTACTTATTAGGGAAGTGTATTGATCAATATTCAAAACTGATTTTGATTAAACTTAAGATTGTATATGGAAATTACTGTTGCAAGTAGTCTGGTCTTTGAGCTGGTAAAGGCATAATTGTCTTTGTTTTAATAAAACAGTGTTTATTGAGCCAATATAGTTACTTTTGAACCTGTCATAAGAAGGGTGTGTATCTGTTAAATAGTCTCACTGCATTTTTGTAACCATTTCATTTGCTGCTCTTAAACACTGGAAAGATGAAGGCAAACAGAATCAATTGAAACGTTTCTTTGATAGTAGAAAGTTGATGAAGAATGAATATGTGGCCAATGATTAGTAAGGAAATATAAACATTCTAACAAGGAAAAAAAACTCACAATGGCTGTTTTATACATTATTAGGCAATCTGGATCTCAAGTGTGCTTTTCATTACTCCTAAGTATCACATCTTAGAGCAAGAGTTACTAGTGGAGAACAAGGGGGTGCTCAGTGTTTACGGGTTGTGGTTTGAAGTTTATCAAGAGTACAGTGTACTTGCAACCTCACCATATAATTTTCAAGATAATGTTCACACTCCCTTCTGTGGTGTACCTATGGTTTTTAGAAGTTATTTAAGATGTTATTTGAAGTTCTCTATATTCATAGGTGCATGAGTAGATTTATTGTTTCCATCTGGTCCTTTTCATCTCAGCTGTAATACTGTTGCAGTATTCATGATTACGAACTGATTTTGTTTGTATGAAATTATGGTTTAAGGAAATTTTTGCACAAGTTATTGCAAATGATAAACTAAGCCAAGTGTATGAGGAACTAATTGTCTTCAAATTTTCTGACCATTTTAATTCAAAAGGAATGAAGGTTAAATATTAATACCATTTTTTTTAACAAAGGCACATATAGAACTGTGTTTTATTGTCAAGGGTTTATATATAGATATTGATATTGATATGTAAAATTTGAAAAACTGAAAGTGAATATTGTTCATAAATACCCCGTTCTGCAGATCCCTGAGATTGTGTTATTGAAATTGGGCAGTGAAGATCCAACTAATAGCTACATGCCTTCCTGTGATTCTTTTACAAAATAAAAAAAGTGTGTGGTTTTTAAAAATCTGTCTGAGGTCTTTATTCCAGTGATGTAAAAAGAGGTCTCCTTTGAGTCAAACTTGGCTCCTGGTGACTTCCCAGACGCGTCTGTGTAATTTTCACGGCAAGAGTAAGAAGATGGCTTGCTGTTGCCTTCTTCCAAAATATTGAATCGATATTCTTCTTTAAAAAGAACCAGCCAAATCCACAGTTGTTCATTCAGTGCAAGGTTATGTGTCATTGCTAAATGAGAGGGACAATCAGAATAAAGATGTGATACTATTGGTTGGATTTTCAGAGGTAGGGAGAAGGAGTTATAGTAAGAAACTGGGTTTTTTTTTAATTTTTATAAATTGACAGGATTTTGCTCTTTGGCATTCTTAACCCTTTGCAGGTCAGCTGGTGGTGTGCACCCTTTGTTCTTGCGTCATGAAAACCAAACAAATCTGGCTCTTCTCTGCTCACATGCTCCCTCTACTGGCCCGGCTTTGCTCGGTTCCTCTGGAAACTATTGTCATCATCAACAAATTTGCAATGGTGTTCACTGGCTTAGAGGTCCTCTATTTCCTGGCGTCGAATCTTCTGGTGCCATACAATTTAGCAAAGTCTGCCTATAGAGAACTTGTCCAGGTAAGAGCTATTTTGCAAACCGTACTGATGCTGTATACTTTGGCGCACTTTGAAAAAAATCTGGCCAGTGCAAATTATTGGCTTCTCATCTGTGTATACAAGATAAGTATTCCTTATGACATTTTAGGTGATGAGTGAAGATCCTGCTAATATTGTCTGATATGTAGCTGGGAATTTTAAGGAAAAGAATGAAATGAAATGTTAGGAAAAAAACGATGATTTCTTGGCCATGAGCAGTATAAGACCTTTTAAAGCAGGAATTTTTGCTTATTGCTGCCAGTTCAATTTATTTTGAAGATTAGTTGATAAATCTCTTGATTTCTTATTAGACGCTCAACAGTGGTTTATAGTTGAATGTGTGAAAACAATCTTGATGCAGAAAAATGGAAATCATTTGGAATAAAATAAAACTTTTCCGTTTTTTGCTTTTGTGTTTTTTTTTAAAGTGATGAAATACAACTGTGGGACGGGCCTAAAATGGCTAATCTTTGCAAAATGCATTGTAGCTACATCCTGTATCAAGCTCTCTATTTAGCCTTATTTATTGGCATATTTTGTTGTTAAGTGGTGAGCAAAATGCCATGGATTTTAGTTCTGCCTATTCTTATGATCTGATGATCTCAGAGCCTACAACTCTTTTCTTCCCTCCTAACTTTTGTTGATTGCTTCAATAAAATTTCATCTACAAACAGTACAACATTTTGACACCAATTCCAGGATGCTAAATCAGAACGATGTTTCCCTTTCCTAAATATTGCTTCTTCTGTGTTTGTAATGAATCCTCTAGACTCAAAAATACTGTGACTCCTAAATTGTGAAGTTAATGAACCACTGAAATAGCTAATTATGCTGCTGCAATCTCAAATGCAGCTGTAGAATTGAAGACATATAAATAACCATCACCTTGTTAATTAACAAGACGGTCTGCTCTCTTTTAAAATAGCAAACTTGTAATTTCATTTTGTTCCCATGTCTCTTTGGGAGGATTAAGTGGCCAGCAGCTATCAAAGCTGTTTCAGCTGGCTAGTTTATTCCATGAAGAACAGTCTGCCTGAAATATTTAAAGCAGTCCATCCAGGTGTCCCTAAAATTCTTGGAACTAAAATTCCTATCATCTCTAGGAAGGAAGGCACCATTTTGAAAAAGACTGACCTAAAGGATGATTAATATCAATTAATGAGATGTGAAACATGGGAACCAGTAATACTGAAGGGTGGAGGGATGGCAGTGTTTCATGTTGCATCTTTAATATTTTTGCATATGCTAGTATGAAGCTGCATAATAATTTCTTTTTCCAAAGTTCAGCCCGTATGTTTGGTTGCCCACCTTTCCTTTTATTCTTATAGAAACCTTGTGAGTTAGGTTGGGCTGCAAGTTGGCAACTGGCCCCAAATCATTTGCTGAGTGGGAATGTGAACCTGGGCCGCCAGTTCGACAGATTTGGACCCAAGCGATTGGTCTGGACTGCTTGAAGCTAGGGAATGCTGGGTAAAAGAAAATTGGGAGATGAGTGTCTAGCTGGCATGTTCTCTATTTGCTGGCCTGAAAAGCTGGAAAGTCTCCATTTCAGATCTTACTTTAAGGATGAACTGAGTGGCTGTAGCTAGATCTGCTGTCAGTGCTATGAGGATGCTAAGATAATGCATGTAAATTACCTGAATCCTAACCAAAACCACCATGCTGTATAAACATTAGATGCCATTTAATTGGAGCGTTAATGCATGTTTTCATGCTGTGGGCAGCCTTTCCTCCTTCTGGGCTGGCAGACTGGGCTCTGCCCGCAGGACAGAATCCTTAATAAACAGCAGTTCAGAGTGGACTGGAGCACTTCCAAGCAGCCTAAGAGAAGAAACTCCTGGTTCTTGTTACATGGGCAGGAAAGTGATATCCAGGGGGCTTCTGAGTACAGATTTCTTGTCTTCCTTTTCTGCGTAGTTCTGTCATTGCCTCCTTAGGCTTGCTCCTTGAGTTTCATCCTTTGATTTAGAAGCTATCTGATGATGTCCTCATTGTACCCAGGCATGAGGGTTAGGGCATGGAGCCAGCTTATATTGGCCATTTACAAAACAGTTATTGCATCTATAGAATTGGATTTATTTCATTATTCGTCCTTTCCTATGGGGATCTGAAGGTAGAGTATCTGGCACACTTCCCCCCTCCCTTTTATCCCATGGAATCCAGCTTATACAACAGAAAAAAGTTATGTTGTATGGATTTGATGATTAGAAATAATATGGGTTAATAGAAATAATGGAAGTTATGTTTTAAATTTAGAGTAAGAGTTTGATATATATTGTTACTTACATCTGTTGCGAGGAGGGTTGGAAGTTAATTCTTTTTTTCTGTTCTTTTCTTTTCTGCACTTTTGATCTTTACTGCTTTCTCTTTTTTCAATTTTCTTTTCTTTCTTATTATTATTTCTCTTAATATTAGTTTTTGTTAATTGTTATTCTTCTTTAAAAAAATTAATAAAATTATGGGGAAAAAAATCCAGTTTGTACATCAATCTTGGCCTCAGTATACTGTTATCATTATGTGACCCATCCCAGGATCCTATAGTTAAAGAGGCCCATTTAGGCCATTGCCCCATGCCCTTCTCAGCATTAAAATCCAAGTTAAAGTCTTGCCTGAATCCAGGGAGCAAATGAAAGCCCACCCTCGGGTGGAGATTGTTTACTGGAAAGGTGTCAAGAACCATCTTCTTAACATTAAGAGCACTTTGCTGGTGGAAGCAGAGTGTGTTGTTATTTGGAAATAGTCTGAGAAGCTCCAGCAAGGTAGCAATATGGAAAAAGTCCTTTCTGTATGTCTGACAAACAAGCCTCTGAAAGGTGGGTGGAATCACTTCCCTTCCCTTCATTCCTCAGTGTTCCAGGTAATGCCAACCATTTTTTCCCCTTACAAATATTTTGAGCACCAAACGTATGAAAAAGGGCTTTCAGTTGTCAAAAAAACACACACATTCTTAATAGCATACAATACCTATATGGATGTATTCCATGTTTAACTTATTTGTGTTAAAATGCAAATAATACCTTGCTTAAAAGTGTATTCATTTGGAAGAAAAAGCATAAAACGTATCATGTCATATTCAGGGGCTCTGAATGTAATTTTAGGGTTTTGTTTTGTTTTATTTTTGAGTGATTTCAGTTGCCAAAGGAAGTTAAAATCATATAGCTGATTTCCAGAACTCAAAAAAGGATAGAGTTCCTTGGGGAGGGAATTTGAGAAACTTTGCAGCCACTGAGAAATGCCAAGTGTGTTATGGTTGAGAATCAGCGCTCATACTATCATTTTACCAACTTCTTTTATAAATTATGTTATTACTCAGGATATCTAAACTATTTAGAAGGTATTTATGGCCTGCAGTTTCTATAAGAGAGGTGCTAATAAAAAAAAACAAAACAGTGATTGAGAATAAGAGCGTACATAGAATAGAATAGAACAAAGGAAGAGTATTATATAAAGTAACATAATTGCCACAAAGTTAATTGCCCCCCAATTGCATTTCAGGCAATTGGTCTGCAATCTAATATAATTATAGCTCAGTGATTTTGTGTTAAGATTCTAATCTAGTGTAATGCATTAGTTGGGAATAGCAACTTTTATTAATAGCACATTGTAATCACAATCTTATTTCTCCTAAAAAAAGAAAGTGCATGCTTTCTGATGCTTAAAAAAATATAAAACCTCCTACTGAAATTGAAGGTTTTTATTATACGAAGTCATCCCAGCACTTGACTCATCTTACCCAAAGTTGGCAAGTTTTTTTTTTCTTTTAGTGTTAAACTTTAGATAATTATACAATTGGTTCAGCTTATATTAATACTGAACTTGACAGGGCCATCACTAGAGCTTCTCAAGGTAGATGAAAAACTGTCAATTTTGCTTTGCAGGTACATCTCCAGGGCACTTCAGTTCTAAAAGCACATTTCTTGGAGGAAGAAGTAAAGACAGAACTAGCCGCAAAGCTTAGTCCGTCTCTGGGTGCAAGTTACATTCCCGGCAGTTCTCTTTGATGAGCTTCCCTGTGTCTCTTACCTGCACTTTCAGGGAGTCTTCGAAAAGGAAGCTGCAAATGTCTTCGGCGCCATCTAAAAGAAACTGCCAGAGCAGGATTGGCCACAGCATCAGTAGACTTCTGTGAATTTTAGGAGAGAATATTCTGCTCTAAACTCCCTCTTCAAAAATCCTTTCCCCAAACTGTAATCAAATAGCAATAGCAACTGAATACTTTTTGGTTGCTTTTGGACGTTAAATGTTCAGCGCTAGAGCCACAATGCCCCCAGAGGCTTTTCTAGGAGCCAGGCAGACTCTTGTGTGCTCAGCATCGCTGTAATTAAACTGGAAGCCACACAGATTTTATGGAAAAGCATCTCATCCCTGCATCAATTAGTCGTTGGGATCACACTTCAGTTTCCCCTTGTTTGCTTTTCTATCCTATGTTAATCCACGTGCCTCTGCAACTATTCTTCCTTTGGGAAAATCGGTCCCCAGTGCGTCTGCCTGGGCATGCTGTCCTTCAGGAAAGATTCGTTTTCATTTCATTTATTCAATTTATGGTCCAAAATACAGAAAGGAAAACAAAAGGAAAAATAAAAAGTCTTTGCTGTTATCGTTTAAAAGCCATCAAAAAGAAAAGTAAAAGATGGGAAGCAGAATGTTTCTCTTGCTGGATCAAAATTTGGCTTCTGATCTTAAAGGCAGCAAAGCAAAATTTGGCCACTGCCAGAGATGTAAGATTGTACTGATCTGCCAGCAGTAATATAAAAAAAGTCTATATGTCCTGGGAAGTCCAATAAAAGGGGTGCGATGTGCCTGTTTCTAATATCTCTATAGAAGAGGCAGTATAATAAAACATGGCTCTGCTGCAACAAGGTGAGAGTTGCGCTTTATTTAGGGCTGTGAGGTGCCAAATCATCACGTGGGTCTTAATAATAAACATAATTGTCATGTACACATCAGTGTCTACATCATGAACTGTTAATTAAATAGCAATAGCAGCAATATAAAATAAAAGAGTGGGAGGATGTAGTGACTCATATTTATGTCACCAGCTTCTTTTAAACTTGAGTATATGATTTGTCAGCAGAAATGTAGCAAAAAATAGTTGGTGTGAGTATCATGTGTGCTTTGGCTTCTAAGACAGCATATGGATGAAACTGATTTCCTGGAACCATTTCAGTTGTGATTTCGTCTATATGGTACTGAGACTCCTTTGGTCACCTTGGTAGGTAACCATCACCAGAAATTAGATGGAGGCAGTGCAACGCTGCTGGTTCTGTTGGACCTCTTGGCAGCTTGTGATATTATTGTATTCTAGGTTATCTAGTAAGGTTAAGCCTTGGTTGTACTGCTCTGGTTCTTCCTCTCGGAACATGCCCACAAGATAGGGCTGCGGGACTATTTACCTATGATGTCCCACAGGGTTCTTATGGTGCTGAAAATGGTGGAAGAGGTTATTCAGAGGGGATGCACCAAACTCTGTGGTTTCCTGTCTTCTAACTCCAAGAAAGCATTCAGTACATTGTTTCCTCATTTCCTAAGATCTTTTCAAGAGCTAAACTTGAAATTTCTTGAGTCCAGAAATTGCAGTTGGTGCAAAGCTGAGCAGAGGCCAGGGTGCTTACTGGTACAAAGAACATGAATCATGTGATGCTGGTACTGAAAGATCTGCAGTGGCTACTAGTTGTCTACTGGACATGATTTTAAGGTGGTGGCGTTCAGTTTTAAATACTTGGGTACAATATAAAATGCTGCTGTTCAGCTTTGAAGCTCTAAACAGGGTAGGCCACGATTATCTGCTGGACTATTTTTCCCACTATGAACCTGCCTAGTTACTTAGAACAACGGTGAGAGGACCTTCTGAAGATGCCCCCGCTGCCAGAAGCTTGACTATCAGATACATGGAACAGGGCCGCCTTCTCCTTGGCTGCCAGGCTATGGAACAGATTTCCTAAAGAGGTCCCTTTGGCTTCAATTCTTGCAGCATTTAGGAAAATCTCTCTTTTGCCAGACATCTAATTATTAATTATTTTTAGTGTCTGGATTATGTTTTTATTTTGTTTTTAACTATTAATTTTGTATTGATTTATACTTTATCATGGTAAACCATCTTGACTGCTGGAATAAATAGACAGGGCATGAATTCAGTGAATAAATACATATTCCAACCTAATGCCTTGTAGATGTGTTAGACTATGCCACTCATGATCCAAAGCTGGATGGTAGATGATTGGAGATGTAGGCCAGTGTACCTGGAAGATAGCAAGTAGGGAAAGGTATCTCATTCCAAACGCTAATTTGTTTGAATTAAGCATTCATGAGGTGCTTACTTACTTATTTACTTTCAAATTTGAACAAGAAACCCATTATGTTCTCTCCCAGATAGTTGAAGTTTATGGACTGCTGGCCCTGGGGATGACTCTGTGGAACCAGCTGGTGGTCCCTGTTCTCTTCATGGTCTTCTGGCTTGTACTGTTTGCTCTTCAGATCTACTCGTATTTCAGCACTCGGGATCAGCCAGCCTCTAGGGAGAGGCTTCTCTTTCTCTTCCTAACAAGGTAATTAGCAAGTGTCAACTCTTGGCCTTAGGTAATCCATCTGAAAGCACGGAAAGCCCTGTTCTGCAAATGAGATGAAGCAGTTATAGGTAACATAGATGTGCCAGGTTCACCTCACAAGCATCTGTTTCTCTCTCTCTGACTCCTTGCATTGTTTTTAGATCAAGGAATTGTGAAGGTCTTTTGTAATATTTATTTCCTCATAAAATAAAATGTTTATTAGAAGATGATGTTGGGAGAAAGGTGTTTTTTTTTGTTTTTGTTTTTTTAAAAAACAAAATGACCAGAAATGGGTGGCTTAAGTATTTTTTCAAGCTAGAAACTGCTCAGTTTAGGCATGTAATCTTTCCCAATTGAAGAGCTTCTTTTGCACTCTAATTTATTTGATCTTAGCATTATGGTCCCTTAGGCCTTGTACAGTCATGTGTTCTGAGCCCCTCTAGAAAATGTATTAGGTAAACCAATCTTCATGATTAGAGAATTTGAAAAATTGCTGTTTTTTAAGGCTGCCCTCAAAACTCTCAATGTAATTGAATAAAATGTTATTGAATGACATAGTAATGAAACACTGGAAGAGGAATAGGGATGATTCAAATGAATTTCCTCCAGTGAAGATAGTTTGCTTTTATTACAATAAGCCAGATGAAATCGTTTGAATACTAAAAATAAGTGGAAGCCTGCGATAATAGCTTCCTTGATTATGGGGGTCACCCAGCAAAAGAGATTTAGACTCTATGTGACTATAATTTCTTCCTTTACAATCATATTTGGTTTATAGAAGGTGACTCTTGGACCACAAAATCCTTTGATTGTATAGAGAAAATACCTATGAAATAGTCGTAGAAACTATATCCATATTTGAGTGCCCTAACAACTATTATCTACTTGTTTTGAATGCTTGCCCAAACGGGAAATGATGTTCCAAATTCCATCTGTTGAATTTTGCAGCTTTACAAATAATTCTGAACTGAAGCATCATTGAACAAAACTGAAAGCATTTGGGAGTCACCAAACAATGATTTTTCATTAAATTCCTCTCCTGTACATGGTCCTCCTTTTGAATACATACTGTCCAATGGCATCTTCTTTTGAAAGATGCTGCTGCACGGCATGTGTGAGTTTGTTCAATCTTGCATTGCTTTTCAGGAACTGCGTGTTATAAGCCTGATTCTCCTCTGTGTTAAGAACTTGATGTGATTCTAAAGTTGCTATATGGTCTCCTCCCCAGTATTGCAGAATGCTGCAGCACTCCCTACTCCCTGCTGGGATTGGTGTTTACTGTCTCTTTTGTGGCACTTGGCGTTCTAACGCTCTGCAAGTTTTACCTGCAAGGCTACCGAGCATTCATGAATGATCCAGCTATGAATCGGTAAGTGCCCGAATAAGGGCTTATCCCATGTATATTATCCCAAAGCAGATTAGGCATATTGCACAATGTAGTCTCTTCAAAACAAACTCCACAAAATGCCTTCAGACACTATTTAGATACCAAAATACATGTTTTCTAAGAAGCTTACTATTTAATAGAACTATAACTCACCTTATGTCCAATCAGTATGGTCATATTGGTAGATTGAGGAAGTCGTCTTTAAATCACTCTGGAATCTCTGGACCCAGACAGAACACAAGGGTCACTGAATCTCTTCTTATGACCTTATTTTCTAAAGTGTAATATCTTTGCTACCTCAGGTAGAATTGGCATCTGCTTGCCACCTTGATGTGTAGTTCTACTAAGTGTTCCTTGCATTGTGCCTCCAGTTTCTTAGCTCCACAATGTGTACTAAAACATGTTGATCACATTGCAATATTCAGAACCTATTATCTTCTTTCTATCACCATTTGCCTTTATTTCAACCTAAAAGCCTGCTTTCAGTTGCAGGCAGTAGCAGATGATGCTTTTTCCTTTCGCCAGCAGTGGTCTAGCATAAAAATAGAATTAAAAACATTGGTCAGGTGTTCTCTAGAAAAAGTTTATTAATCTATAAACAATTAGGACTTGAAAATGAGCCAAAGATGGAAGAAATTAGAAGTGATTTGGGAGCTTTTCAAGAGAGGATTATATGAACAAAACTATTCTGGTCCACATCATTGTAATTTATAATTGCTGAAAATACTTACATATTTCTTTCCATGTTTAAATTATGCAGGTGATGTACAGAAATGTGGAGCAACTATGAAATACATTCAAACATTACAATATAAAGTATATTTAAATGAGACATCACTATACAACCTTACCAATAGATAACAGATCTATAGATTGTAGAGCTGAGGTGTAGAGAGGCGGTGACAGGCAGAATTTATTCATTTGAGTTATTGATGAATGGCTAACATCAAAGGATGGTGCTCTGCCTGTCTATCCAGTGAGTTTGCAAAGAGGTTAAATTCAAGATACAACCTCTGAGACTTCCAGTTGACAGAACCAAAAGGGCTTGTTGAGCAAAAGGCCCTTTGGCTGGGATTGTCTGATAAGGCAGATATTTGGCCGTATCATAAGCCTTAGGAAGATAGTTGCATGTTAGTCACATGCTTTTAAAACTGCATCAGATCCATCAGAACTACAGTTTTGTTCTTGATCTTTTTTTCATTGCCTTTAAAAATATTTAAAGGGGGATGACAGAAGGAGTCACACTTCTGATCCTGGCTGTGCAGACTGGACTAATTGAATTGCAAGTGGTGCATCGGGCCTTCCTGCTCAGTATTATTCTCTTCATTGTGGTGGCATCCATCCTGCAGTCCATGCTGGAGATCGCGGATCCCATTGTTTTAGCTCTGGGAGCTTCAAGAGACAAGTAAGTCAGAAGTCATTCGACATAGGCAACTGTCTTTTGATGCTTCTTGTTCTAGATGTAAAGCCAATAGTGTTTTATGTCATGATTCAGGTGTGATGTCTAATTACGATTTGCCACAACAAATGCTAGTCTTCAGGAAGCCTGAAGCTCATGTGCTTTTCCTTCATGCACCATTTTGAGACAATTCAAAAGGACAAGCTACATATTTTTTTTTCTGCTGTAGTTTACAGAGCAGGCACAAACCATAACTTACTGATTTGGACAAAACAGGCAGCAGTTTGTCTGAAACTAGGCAAAGAGAATTACTGCCTGACTGGATTTACACACTTTGGTAGGTGATAATAGGGTTTGTTTAACATGTTGTGTGAATCCAGCCATTGTGGTCTACAAGGCATGGTTCATGTCTTAGGTGCATGTAGGTCAGGGTGTTAGGCAGAGTGCAGATATGACCACATTCTATGCCAAAAATACACACCAGGATTAGAGAGATTTAAAGAATACAATGTCCTTATCTTGTTCTCCAAAGAAATCCAGCCAGAAGTTATAAAACATAACTGGTTGTTTATTGAGAAAAATAAAAACTACATAAAATACAAGTTTCATGTAAAACATATAAAAATCACTTCTTCTCATATATGTGGCATCCAAGACTTATCAGTACACAAGTTTAACAAAGTCTCTAGCCAAAACACTCTCAGAGAAGTGGTACACTACTTAGTCATTAATTACTACTACATAACCTATAAAACTGATTACATGATGACTAAAATCCTACTAAGCAGTGAGGCATATTTATCAACACTATGCACCTCCCCTTAGGTAACTAGCATACAGACGCCAATAGGTGGCAGTAAATAGCAGTATACATGCAGACCAGAAAAACAAAACGCAGATGGCCTGACTTTTGCAGTCAAAACAATTGTTTGGAGATAAGCTATTTGCTTTTCTTCCCATGAGAATATCCTAACACAGGGCCAGTATGCCTTTAAAATAAATCCAGATTAAGACATGCCATGGCTTAATGCATGCTATAGTGAAGGGAGAAGGATGCATCTGAGCCTAAGAGCCCTTGAAAATTCAGCCACTATCTGGACGATTTCTGTTCTTTGCCTCTGCAGAGACGAGGCACAGTTGTGTGCAGGTAAGTTGTGCAGTCTCTCTTCTGACTGGCCCTATGTCTGTTGTACGGGAAGAGTGTCAGGCTCCACAGTGAGTAATATAAGACCAAGAAGGTGGAACAAACTGGTCCAGTAGCAAGAAGGATACATAAGAATACATGCAAAGGCCAGGGAAGGAGAGACAGTGACTCTGCAGTGCAAGAACTAAAAGCCTGAGACACGTTTTTACCAGAAATACGCTTTTATCAGAACTTGACCCTAAAATTGGGTTAGTGCTGCTTTTTGTCTTGTACCCTACTTTGCTTTTCCTCTCCTGGATAGCCAGAAATGACTGTAAAAAAGAAGAGGTTTATTTATATCCACTGGGCCTGTTGTGCTAGAGGTCGCCTGTTAGCTGCATCTGTTGCTTGCACCATGTTAGCATTAAATTTTTTAGCAAAGGGAAATGAGGACCGCAGAGCTACAGGAGAGTAGCTCACTTGATTCTGTACATTGATGCTGGCACATGGGAATTCTGATCCTCCGGTTTCAAGCCCGGTAGTGGAAAGGAGATCTGGAAAAAATTACAGTGGATTAATGTTCTTAAATATGCAGATCCAAATCTTACATCTTGAAGTTACCATGAATGATTGATAGTACAGTATGCAAGCTGTCATAATACACCGATGAGATGTGAAGGAGTATGTAATTAACTTGGTTCAATTGAATTAGGTCATGAGTAAGAAGCAGTATGATTCTGTTATTGCATAATAATGACTGATCCTGTGAAATGGAACCCTGACTATATTAAAATTATATCACCAAAGCATTCGGTGTCTCATTCGTTTGTGCTCACCCATAGACAAAGAAGCCGATGGGGTTAATTTTGTGATCTTCTATTTTTGCACTCCCTACCATCTACTGCTCAATAAGATTTCCCTCATTCTATTATCTTGGGACTTGTTTTCTTTCATCCACACCCATGCAGAAGCCAGATAAGCCATGTATAACTTTGGCCATCCTAAGTGTAATATGATAATGTGATTAGAATCCCAGTGCAGTTTGCGTTCCAAAGATACCATTCCAATAGAAGAGAATATATATAATGATACCATTAACATGTATATGTTACACACGGTACACAAACTTCCCTCAGCAGTTTTGTCCTCTGATAATTCCACATTCACTTGTATGGACAGCCATATTGTGATACTGAACATTACTCTCCCCAGAAAAAGGTGGGTGGAAACCTCACAATAGAGGCGAATATGTGTAGCTCAGGGTTGAACTGTGGAGTCCTTGGGGTTTTCTGAGCTTGGTTGTTTTCTTGAAAACATTTCATTACCCGGCTAGGTGACATCTTCAGTGCTAGAATAGAATGGGGAATTTGCTCTCTATTTATATACTGTGGCCTGCCTTGCCAGTGCTGGTGGGGG